AGAATACATGTAACAGGACTAAGAAAAGAAGTTTGGCAACATACAGAAGAAGCCCAAGAAGATTAATTGGACATTACTAACAGTTTAATTTACCAGTTTATATATCACTCAGCTTTCTCTTTCTCCCACTGTCTACCCCTTCCTTTTTTTCTTTTAAGTAAATACCTCCCCTTTTTAGGGGAGCCAATAAAACCTTTTATTAAAAAAAAGAGAGAGAGAGAGAGGTGGAAAGAAAGAGTGAAAAAGGTGGAAACAAAGAAAGGAAATAGATGAGGGAGGGAGGAGGAAAGAAGGGAGAAAAAGAGAAAGGTGGAAAGAAAGCAAATAAATGGGGAGGGGAGAGGGAGAGGTGGAAAGAAAGCAACGTTAACTTTTAATGTGTTCTCCAACACACACACCCCACGCCCCTACGCCAGCCAGCATGGCTTGGAGAAGAGATTTAAAGAGACAAATACCTTATCCAAGCCAGCTGGGGGGGGGGGGGGCTTTGAGAATGCATTTAAGGTTAAAGTTGTTTTCTTTCTCTCCTCCCCCCCTCAAGCCTACCCAGGGAGGGGAACACTGGCTGGGGAAGGGAAAACCAATCAGGGAGGCATGCCTTCCCTTTGCTTCCCCAGCTGCCCTTCCAAGAGCTGCACAATATGTGTAAAAGAGCCGCATGTGGCTCCTGAGCCACATTTTGGCCACCCCTGGTCTAAATCAATTATAGCAGGCTATCTCTCCTTATTGTAAATACATCAAATACCTTTTTAGTGGCTTCAAGTTCTGCAACGTAATGCTGAAGAATGCATGCAATAGTACGCTCTATTTCATGTTGAAGACATGGCATGTTCAGCTTCTGAAACCTAAATAGAAAATCATATTTAGATTCAGAATGTGTCCTGTAAATTGGGTTTTAAAAGAAATGGGTATGCCACAACATCTGATTGCTTCGATGTGCAACCTATACTCTGGACAAGAGGCTACAGAATATGGAGAAACAGAATAGAATCATAGAATTATAGAGTTGGAAGGGACCTTCAGGGTCATCTAGTCCAACCCTCAGCACAATGCAGGAAATCCACAAATACCTCCCCCACACATGCACTCAGTGACCCCTGTTCCATGCCCAGAAGATGGGGGGGAACCCGCCAGGATGCCCGGCCAAACTGGCATGGAGAAAAATTGCTTCCTGACCCCAAAGTGGTGATCAGCATTTCCCTGGGCATGTAAGAAAGGGCCACAAGAACTAAGCACTGATGCAACCATTCCTGCCCTCCCTCTCATGATCTGCCTAAGTTCACAGAATCAGCATTCCTGTTAGATGGCCATCTAGCCTCTGTTTGAAAGCCTCCAAAGGAGAGCCCACCACCTCCCTAGGAAGTCTGTTCCACTGAGGAACTGCTCGAACTGTCAGGAAGTTCTTCCTAATGTTTAGCCAAAAACTCTTCTGATTTAATTTCAACCTGTTGGCTCTGGTCCGACCTTCTGGGGCAACAGAAAACAACTCCATACCGTCCTCTATATGGCAGCCCTTCAAGTACTCGAAGATGGTTATCATATCACCTTTCAGTTGTCTCCTCTCCAGGCTAAACATACCCAGTTCCTTCAACCTTTCATCATAGGACTTAGTCTCCAGACCTCTTACCATCTTTGTTGCCCTCCTCTGGACACATTCCAGCTTGTCTATATCCTTTTTAAATTGCGGTGCCCAAAACTGAACACAGTACTCTAGGTGAGGTCTAACCAGAGGACAGTAAAGTGTTAACATCACTTCCCGTGATCTGGACACTATACTTCTGTTGATACATCCCAAAACTGCATGTGCATTTTTAGCTGTCACATCACACTGCTGACTCATGTTCAGTGTATGTTCTACTAAGACTCCTAGATCCTTTTCACACATACTACTGGCAAGTCTCCCCCATCCTATAATTATGCATTTGGTTTTTCCTACCTAAATGAAGATCTTTACATTTATCCCCACTAAAATTCATTTTATTTGTTTTAGCCCAGTTTTCCAGCCTGTCAAGATCATCCTGTATCCTGACTCTGTCTTCTACCATATTTGCTAACCCTTTCCAATTTAGTATCATCTGCAAATTTAATAAGCATTCCTTCTATTCCTCCATCCAAATCATTGATAAAGGTGGTGAACAAACCAGATGCCAGGACAGATCCTTGAGACACTTTACTTGTCACTCCTCTTTGGGTGTGATCTGTCAACCAGTTACAAATCCACCTAATGGTCATAGGATCCAAACCACATTTTTACCAGTTGGTCAACAAGAATATTATGTGGAATCTTCTCAAAAGCCTTACTAAAATCAAGATAAACTATGTCTCCAGCATTCTCCAGCAAGGTACTAACTTTCTTGAAAAAAGGAATATGGTTAGTCTGACATGACCTGTTCTTGAGAAACCCATGCTGGCTCTTAGTAATCCATCCTTTCTAAATGCTCAAAGACTATCGGTTTGATAATTTGTTCTAAAACTTTACCAGGTATAGACATCAAGCTTACAGGTAGGTAGTTACCCAGATCCTCCTTTTTTCCCCTCTTGAAGATGGGGACAACATTTGCCCACCTCCAATCTTCTGGCACCTCACCTGTTCTCCAAGAATTCTCAAAAATAATGGACAGAGGCTCAGAAATTACACCCACAAGTTCTTTGGATGCAGTTCCTCTGGCCCCAAGGACTTCATTTCATTTAAAGAAACTAGGTGTTTATGTACTACCCCTATGCCGATGCTAGGCTGCAATTCCCTTCCCTCATCATGTTTTCTGGTTTTGCCATGTTGAGCACCGTTTCCCTCACAAAAGAAGATTGAGGAAAAGTAGGAATTGAGTTTAATGATTTACATAAACAGCTAAATAATCTTGTGATCAGCAATAAACAAAGGACACTTGTATTTCAAAATATGAACATTAAACTGCTAGGAATTACATTTGTAATGACAGGCATATTAATGTTTAATTGAATATTTTTTGCCTATTGATCAATTGTGTCTGCTGCAAGTAAATTAATATTTGCTGCACTGAATGCATAAAGTATGAAAGAAGTGCATCTCAAAATTTGAAAAGGACAAATTTGGGGGGACAGATTGTGACTTAGTGCCAGAGTATCTGATTTTCATTCATAAAGTCCCAGATTAACTCCCTGATATATTTAGTTCAAAGGCTTCGGTGACATGAAAGACCTCTACCTGAGACCCTGTAGAGCCACTGCCAGTCAGATTAGACAATACTGACTTTGATAGCTCAAGGGTATGACTCAGGTCCAAACTGCATTATTTTTTTAACAAGTTGGGTCTGGGGAAGCTGGACCCAACTAGCTTTCCCCACAGCCATACAGCAGCTGGAGGGAATGGGGGCCAATTTTAGCTCAAGGCCATGATGTGAGAGGAGTCAGAGATCCTCCCTCCTCTCCTCATGCAAAAATGGTCTGGGTGAAGTTATTTCCGTAACCTTGGGGCTATATGTGGAGTATTCCATGCATGGGCAGCTGCAAAATGGGGCAAATAACTCCCTTTGAGGCTGTTTCAGTTCAAGAAGAATGGTGCAAGGGAAGGCAGGAACCTCTCCTCCCCACATGCCATGATCCTGAGCTAAACTGTGCCCCCACAGGCTTTAAAAATCACTGTCCCCACAGCTGCTGTGGGAACCCTGAGCCAACTTCAGTATAAGTTTGCATCCTGTGTTGTTAGACATCTGCTAAGGACTTGTAGGCAGTTGTGACTCTCCAGTATATGGCCTCAGGCATTTGAAGCAAACACAAATATAACAAAGTGCCTCTCTGTTTGAAGCAGAACGTTCTACCAAGTTCCCTCAGATAGATGTTCATTCAGTAGATATCCTTTCTTCATGTTAAAAAGTGTTCCTACTGCAATAGTATTATCATACAGAAAGCCAGTTTTTAGGTGATAATTGTCACAATGGCCCCGGTCACACGGGCTGGATAACACAGGGGGGAGGCGGGGCTTTTTGCTCCACTGCAATTAGAGCCACCATAACACGATCCCACGCATCAGTGGCATGCCATGGTTCCTTCCCTCTGCGCCTGTGCATCAACGAGGGGCCGGAGGGAAAAGCCGTGGCCGGCACAATCACACCAAGGGACTCGGGAGGCAGCCCACGGCAAACCAGTTGCTAGTACCTTCGAGCAGGTAGTTTTTAATTGCGCATTTTCGGCAGTACGCCACGGGTTTGCCATGGGTGCGCTCCACTTCCCAGATGTTGCGGTGTGATCACGCCTTGATAATTCACCATGCAATCGTCGCTCTCCCGTGGCAAATCCTCCGTGTGAACAGGGCCAATGTCTCTGCTAAGGAACAGAATTTGTAATAGCATAATTTAATTTGTTTCAACTTGTGAAATGTTAATTAAGGAAATAAGAAACAGGCTGGAATTAATAGCTTCCTTCTTGGTCAACTATATTATAGAGGACAAGAGGAAATCCATTGTTCGTAAGAAAAGAACCAAATCAAGCGTGAATTCTCCCTAGAAGTTAAAATGCCTAAATTGAGGCTATCATACTTTGGTCACATCATGAGATGACAGGGTTCACTGGGAAAGACAATAATAGAAGAAGGAGGAGGAGGAGGAGATTGGATTTATACCACCCTTCACTCGGAGTCTCAGAGCAAACTCCTTTCCCTTCCCCTCCCCACAACAGACACCTTGTGAGGTATGTGGGGCTGAGAGAGCTCAGAAAACTGCCCTTTCAAGAACAGCTCTTGTCAGAACTATGGCTTGCCCAAGGTCATCCAGCCAGGTGCAAGTGGAGGAGTGGGGAATCAAACCCAGTTCTCCCAGATTAGAGTCCGCACACTTAACCATTGCACCAAACATGGAACAGTTGAAGGCTGTATGAAAAGAGGAAGACCCAACATGAGGTGGATAGAGTCACTCAATAAAGGAAGCCACAGCCTTCAGTCGGCAAGACCTGAGCAAAGCTGTTAATGATAGGACATTTTGGAGGCCATTAATTCATAGTGTCACTATAAATTGGAAGTAATTTGACGGCATATAACACATATAAGATAGGCTCCCTACGGTTTTTCAAAATGTGTGTAAATTTAAAACACTGACCAGTTTAAACCAATCACTTTGAACTTATTTGGCCTACCTTTGAAGAAGTTGGACAGCATGTTGTGAAGATAAGATTCTTCCAAAACAAGTTCTCATAAATGACTGTATCTGAACCTAAAGCAAAAAGTATACATTTTATAGTGATAACTTGCATCTTTGATAATTAATTGTGGATTAATTTATCAGAGCATCGGAAACAAATTTATTATTAATATTTTTCACTCCCTATAGTAGTGAAGTGGTTGCCTCACATGGCAATAGGATGCAAATGGGAAGGGGAGGGGAACACAAGATCGCTATACCCAGGGAAAGCCACTAAATATGCAGTGAGGGGAAAAAACTGCCTTACCAAAATAGCTGCCTTCTTTGTCTGTTCTCAGATGCATGTGACCATGATGCTGTCTGGAAGCACTAGCAACAAGCTCAGCATGAAGCCATCCCTCAGCAGGTCAGGGAGAGAGAACTAGGCTAAAGGGAAGTTGTGACGTCCTCCTTATTGGGTAGAACTAGTTTCACTTTAAAAGTTCTCTTTATTATGTTTAACTGGGTAGATTCTGCTGCCACCAGGAAATTTTAAGGATTTCCAAACCTTTATGCTTCTACTGTTGCTCTTTTTAGTTTGGTAGACCGAGTTCAGGGCTTACGAGGAACTATGTGGTCCTGAGAAGTATTTCATTCAGAGCTGGTATAAACTTAAATAACAGAGGATTTATTGAAATAAATACTAAATAAGAGGGTGATACAATGTAACTAGTAATGTGTAAATGATGTACAATTGCTTTGATATCACACTCAATCTTTTCCCTCACTGACAGGGATCTTTTCATGTAACTTTGTAACACTTGTTTATCTCAATGCCATATATGTTCACTGTTTCCTCCAGTTTGTTATGACACTCAGACTTTCCTTTAACTTTACTTCACTTAAACTTTACTTTACTTTTTCCTATACATTCAGCTTTCAGCTCTCTTTCCCATTGAACAACCGCAGCTGTCCTTCTAACTGCTTCAACACAAAACTAACTAACTGAACATCAACTGTCAACATCTAACTGAAACTCCTGACTGACTCACATACTCATCCACCCAGATTCACTTCCAAAACCCCTCCCCCTCTCTGTCAACCACCAATCATACCACACTTGCCTCTCTCAACCACTCTAGTCTATCTACCACAGCCATGCAACCAAACTTTTAAAGAGACACACACACACACAAAAACAAGGAATCGTTACCAAAAGTAAATAGGGATGCCAGCCTCCAGGTGGGGCCTGGAGATCTGCCAGAATTCACTTCCAAAACCCCTCCCCCCCTCTGTGTTGTTGTACTGAATTTTACTGTAAGCTGCCCTGAGCCTGAAATACTACTGCTACTATTGCTATTGGGGGGTGACAGTGGGAAGGCTTCTGGAGTTCTGGCCACACAGGTTGTTAGCAGCCAGACTCCTCTTCTTGCAGAAGGGCAGTTTATAGCTTAGAGAGGCAGAAACACCATTCTTAAAATACCATCTCCAAAATTGTAAGTACAGGACACTGCCTGGCCCAAAATGAAAAAATATGGATGCCAGTCAGAAACAAGTCTGGGAAAGTATTTTGGAAAAGGAGTAAGAGTGGCAGTCTACTGTCCCCTGCATGCCCTGGAGAGATGCATAACTGTAGGACAATGGGACTCCCAAAACCTATTGACTCACCCTTGGACTAATATCAAGTCCAACCTTACTTCCTCTACACCCACTTAGTATAATTAAGCACCACTTAATTCTATTCACCAAACCCATTAGCTTTTCCCAGGGTCATCTTGCAGGGTCATCAAGCCCCTTTCACACCTATAGTCTACCTCAGAAAAACCCATCAAGACTCTCCTATCATTTTTTTTTGTCCACCTCCAAGAGGCCCATCATGTTATTCTTTTCTGGCAAACATGTCATACCTGCCAGAAGGCACATTTTGCCCTTTACTTCCCAGCAGTGTGTGTGTGTGCCTTGGATCCTCTGCATACACCCCACTTTGTTAGTTCTCTTCTTCTCTCCATGAAACACTGGTTGTTTTGCTGTTTCTGCAGGCATCTTTCTTCAAGATTGGTAATTATCACCCTCCCTGAAATTGTTTTTCCCCCTTTCCCCCTGTGTCTCTCTTAGCTAGCTATTGTATGTGTATTTATTGTGTGCATTTCTGTTTTATTCTTTTATTTTAAATAACAACCTATCCAGTTGGTTGACTTATTTTGAGAGTTCTCTTAAGGGAAACATCCCCACAAACATTGGTGGAGAATCCCACTTACTTCCTTTCACTCTGTCTCCTTAAAGCTAATTCCTCCAACTAATTAGGTAACAGGGTGGACCTCTTGATGGCACCTGGGTTTTGGCCACTGTATGACAGAGTGTTGGACTGGATGGGCCATTGGTCTGATCCAACATGGCTTCTCTTATGTTCTTAAAGACAGTAGTGGCAAATTTCCAAGACTTGATTCCAAATTCGAATAATTACATAGCTTACCTCTAAACCTTCTATTTTTGTCATAAAATCAGCAAAATCAACATCAAATTCAGTTTTCCTTGGATCTAGAATATCGTATTTTTTCTTTTGAACACTTTGGTAAATATTTTTGAACTTAATGGCCATAATATCAATTCCTTCAATGGTAGACATACTCAACGCAGAAAAAGTTTGAACTATGGTTATCATTTCTGTAATCTGAAATTTGAAAAAAAAATCACTCTAAAAGTCATAATGAGCTTATTTAATAAAGTTGTGGCTCTTCTGCTAATATTTGCTAGGTTTGAGGCTAGGCTCATTTGACAATACAGATAGTTTATCTGATTGGCAGTTACCCTGAGATCACTTTTTGCCGAATTCTATAACAATAATAGCTGGCTCACCTTGGAAACCTGGTTTCTCTTTCCCAGAAACAGAAACCTACCTTTAGGAGCCTTGTACACAATGCACTAAGGCTTATTTTTCACGGAAGTGGTAAACATGTGACTGGGCAGTGGTGTATATGGGGTTACTAGATCGCCAGTCCAGGGTCCTTTAAAATGCTTTTGGCGAGTGGGGGCCAGGCCTCGCATGCCTGAATTCTTACCCTCCTGAAAGATGTCTTCCCCTCCTGCAAGAGGTCAGGCCTTGCGCACCCCTCTCCTTCCTCTTCTGCAAGATTTAAAGGGCCCTCCAGCTGACCAGCAGGGCGCGTGCTCCCTGGATCAGCTGGAGAGCCCTTTAAGTCTGGCAGAAGGGGAGGGAGAGGGGTGGCCACGGGTGGACGTTGTTGGGGTGGTGACATCCCCAACATGACATCACCACATTGGGGACATCCCCACCCCCTCAATGAATGCCCCCCCAAATCCCCCACTGGGGACAAGGGTAGTTCTGGCAACCCTAGGTCTATATGCTTATCTGTACAGCTACTTCCCTGCACATAGAAAATTAGCATGTCAAAGAAGGCTGTGCTTCAACCCTTTCCCTGACATGATGTTGCTGGTATTTTTGTTGTGTGGGGGGGGGGGCTCAATCAGTAAGGCAGCTTGAAGTGGTACTGCTCAGACTCAGATTTACGACATCAGTGGGAACTAGATCCACATTGCAATAGTAGTAGCAGTAGTAGAAGTGATTAGATTTATACCCCACCCTTCACTACCTGAAGGAGTCTCAGAGGAGTTTACAATCTCCTTTCCCTTCCACTCCCCACAACAGACACCCTGTGAGGTAGGTGGGGCTGAGAGAGCTCTGAGATAACTGCTCTTGAGAGAGCAGCTCTGAAAGAACTTGTAACTGACCCAAGGTCACAACAGCAGCTGCATGTGGAGGAGTGAGGAATCAAAGCTGGTTCTCCCAGATTAGAGTCCACACTCCTAACCACTATACCAAACTGTCCTTCAGAGTATCACAGTAAAAATGCTTAGAAGGTTTCATGTCAGGGTCATAGTCAGGGGTCATTTTGTAGAAAAAGAGCTAGGGGAACTCATTAGCATAACTCATTTGCATATGCCACACCCCCTGACATCAGGGGCCCGGTGGTGGACCTGCATGGCCACCCCAGGCAGGGGTGGGGAGACGCGGGGAGGAAGCAACTTACCCTCCCTCTTCTCCTGCCTCCTCCTGGCTGAATGAGGGCTGGAAGCAGGGCGGCCAGAAGCAGGGGGTGGGGATTCATCATGTGCCCCGCCCCCTGCGTTCCCCCGCGTTCCCCCCCGAAATGACCTCTGGTCATAGTCATTGGTAGTAGCAGGTAGTTCATAACACCCTAAATGAAAAAAATTCTGCTAGCTGCTCACAGGAATAAAAAGTCTGACAACCACCAGCTTTACTAACATATATGTGAACATAAGTGAACAGGCTGAAATAGAACACACATTGTTTTTATTCTTAAATAAGTAGTAGGTCCACACTTACTTTTTCTAGCCTTTTGCAAAAAGCTTCAAATTTGCCAAAAATATACATCTCAGATACTTCAAATGTCTTGTCCCCTAAACTCTCCAAAATTTGTTTCCTTGTTTTGTGAAAACTTTTCTGATATTCTTTAAACAGAAAAATGCAGTCCTAAAATGTAAAGAATAAATGTAAGCTCGAACCAGTTGGGTGGTGTAGGTGAAGATGAAAGACAATTCTTATGGAGTTCTAAGCTGTGCTTCACATCTTCTGTGTAGGAAAGATATGAATTCAGTGATACTGCAATTAATGTAGAAAAGTCCCACCATTTACAGTTCCTTTTACTGCTCCCGTCTCTGGCCCCAGCTCCTGCCAACCTAGCAGTTCAAAAGCAAGAAACTGCAAGTATATAAATAGGTACCGCTTTGGTGGGAAGATCACAGCATTCCGTGTGCTTTGCCATTTAGTCATGCCGGCCACATGACCACGGAAACGTCTTTGGACAACGCTGGCTCTTTGGCTTGGAAATGGAGATGAGCACCACCCCCTAGAGTCAGATTCCACTAGCTTTCGAGCAAGGGAAACCTGGCTTCTCTAATTAGTACTTAGAGTTTTTGTATTCAGAATTATTAGTTCACCTACTTTAATGGCTGTTATCTGGTAAAATGTGAACAAAGCCCAAACAATTCTAATTGTATTATTATTATTATTTATATGAGCAAGCAGTAGAAATCCTGAAGAGAAAACTTACTTAGCCTGTATAACAAGCACCCTCCCCTTCTGCTTACGCTGCTGAACATTTCTTACTAATTAAGGGGAAATGCTGACAAGATGCTTGCTATTTTGTATCCATTCAAAATTAATTTATTTTAATTCGGCAATGTAAAAAAATCAATCCACAAAGAGCTGTCCTTGAGGACTAATTAGGCAGCAAGCCCTACTATGAGGGACCAGAGGTTTTCAAATATGTAACAGGGCATGTTAATTATGACACTATACATATTATGCTAATGGACATAATGAGAATTCACAATAATGATTTATTTACCATGAAAACTAAAGTCTTGTTTTATAGCAGTAATGTATTTTGCTCTTTGGGGAAGCCCCTGTATCATAAGATATTACATTTGTACAGCATACAAACCTGGATTTTCTTAATTACTGTTGGGGTATCCTGTTCCCATACACGACTAAATCCTCCATCAGTAATATATGCTTTACATGCTGTTACCATCTGATTTGTAACCTAATGCATGCAAATACAAGATAAAGAATCCAACTCACTTTGTTAAAATGGAGAGAAACATGCACATGAAATTAGTCTATTATGTAAAATCATTTTAGCTAACCAATAATTTTTGGTTCAAATTGCGGCTCTCTACAAATATATATGGGAATATCACTGCTTCATTTCAAGATCCTTAAATATGATGATTTTAACAAAAATTGCTTTTGCAATGAGTTTTGCTAAAACTCAGCATATTTCCACAAGCCATACTGCTAATCCACGCAGAGCTAATCCCCATGCCAAACCAAAGGGTGTCAGCATTCATTCAGTGACACAGTCTACCCACGAATTTGTTATTTTGCCTGTGCAAAGCGCTGCTTACTTCCTACACATCCAGTTTAATGCTTAAGGAAGACAACTATATTTGTCATTGCCATGCCCTGGCATCCAGTTGCTAAAACGGTAAGAATGAGCATTAGCTTTCTCCCATTCACTGCCAGTGTAGGAAAACTGCACACTGATCAGCACAAATGCAAGCAGTAATCTTTTATTTCACAAATAAAGTTACTGTATGTATTTGGACTGATGTCAAGAGTGGTCTGCTGGGATGTTTATGCAAATTAATAATCTGACAATCTAACATACTGCTCCCACCAGTGAGTTCTTGGGGAGATTTACCAACAATGAAATCATACTGAAAAAGTTACCCATTTCTCACTGAAGTCTCTTGAGTGAGACTGGATCCTATTCTAGAGAATTTCTTGGTCTTTAAAAGAAGGGGTATGAGGGCAGCAGTAGAGAGGTGGAAACCTGAAAAATCCTGTATGGAAGCAAGTCCTTTGGATCTCACTCAAAGTAAATAAATAAATACAATAATTGTAGTGGCAATTTTACTGTGCACACACTTCCCTAACAATGGACTGAGGGTTAATCTGACTTCACCCACATGATTTTTCTGTCACCCATCTTCCATAAACAAATCCTCATTATCAAGGGACCTACCTTTACAAACAGTGATGTCATTCTCTCAGAAGTATTGTAATATCTTGAGACACTGTGTATCATTCGTATAGCATTAATCAAGTTTTGTATTCCATGGGCCATGGAAACCTAAAATAAACATTTTGTAAGATTAGATGAATTGATGACTGATAAATGAGGCGGTGGGGTATTTGTGGAGAAATGTGTTTTACATGGATACCCAGAGATAAGACTCCCCATTAACTATATTGGTCCTATAGGGTATAATGGAGTTTTTTAAAAATAGCATTTCTGGAAAAGCCCTGAATCTGAATACTATACCAATATTGGAATTTGGACTTTTTTGGGAATCCCAAAAAAAATTGGGGGGGGGGGGCAATATATCTGAATTCGGAAAATCCCGAATTTTTTATGTGGGCACATCCATAGTAGTCAAACAATAACATCGGGTTACAAACTTACAGTTTAGACATTTGAAAATTAATTATTTACATTTTAACCTTGCATCCCTATTAACAGTGACCAGCTCTTCTAAATGATTTTTCATCTTCTCCATTATTTTGACTATCTATGGCACAGTAATTTCCTTCACCATTCTTCAATATCCAGTGGAACAGCCAAAGTCCAAGTGAAAGGGTAATTTTACCAGCATTGTTTTTCTTTTTGTTTTACAAGGATATGGCTACACTCAAATGTCATGAAAAGATGCAATTAAACTGAAGCAAAGGGCACTCAATGACACTGTCTAACCATCTCATCCTTTGCCGTCCCCGTCTTCTTTGACCTTCAATCTTTCCCAGCATCAGGGTCTTCTCCAGTGAGTGCTCCCTTCTCATTTGGTGGCCAAAGTATTTGAGCTTCAGTTTCATTATCTGGCCTTCCAGGGAACAGTCAGGGTTGATTTCTTTGAGGATTGACTGATTTGTTCTTCTTGCAGTCCAAGGGACTCTCAAGAGTCTTCTCCAGCACCATAGTTCAAAAGAATCTATTCTTCGGCGCTCGGCCTTCCTTATAGTCCAACTCTCACAGCCATACATGACTACTGGGAATACCATTGCTTTGACCATGCGGACTTTTGTTGGCAGGGTGATGTCTCTACTTTTTATCATGCTGTTTAGGTTCGCCATCGCTTTCCTCCCAAGGAGCAGGCGTCTTTTAATTTCATGGCTGCAGTCACAGTCTGCGGTGATCTGGGATCCCAGGAACGTGAAGTCTGTCACTACTTCCACGACTTCCCCTTCTATTTGCCAAGGAGTGATGGGGCCGGATGCCATGATCTTAGTTTTTTTGATGTTGAGCTTCAAGCCCACTTTTGCGCTCTCCTCTTTTACTCTGAGCAAGAGGCTCTTTAGATCCTTTTCACTTTCAGCCATTAGAGTGGTATCATCTGCATATCTGAGGTTGTTGATCTTTTCCCCAGCAATCTTAATTCCCGCTTGTGATTCATCCAGGCCAGCATTTCGCATGATGTACTCTGCATATATATTAAATAAGCAAGGTGACAGTATACATCCTTGTCGTACTCCTTTTCCTATGCTGAACCAATCAGTTGTTCCGTATCCGGTTCTAACTGTCGCTTCTTGGCCCTTATACAGGTTTCTCAAGAGACATGTGAGGTGGTCTGGTACTCCCATCTCTTTAAGGACCTGCCATAGTTTGTTGTGATCCACACAGTCAAAAGCTTTAGCATAGTCAATGAAGCAGAAGTAGATATTTTTCTGGTACTCTCTTGCTTTCTCCATAATCCAGCGAATGTTGGCAATATGATCTCTCGTTCCTCTACCTCTTCGAAACCCAGCTTGTACTTCTGGCAGTTCTCTATCCATGTACTGTTGAAGCCTAGCTTGTAGGATCTTGAGCATGACCTTGCTAGCGTGTGATATGAGTGCAATTGTGCGATAGTTTGAACATTCCTTGGCATTGCCCTTCTTTGGGATTGGAATGTATACTGACCTTTTCCAATCCTGTGGCCACTGTTGCGTTTTCCAAATTTGCTGGCAAATTGCGTGCAGCACTTTAACAGCATCATCTTCTAAGACTTTGAATAGCTCAGCTGGGATACCATCACCTCCACTAGCTTTGTTGTTAGCAATGCTTTCTAAGGCCCATTTCACTTCACATTCCAGGATGTCTGGCTCGAGGTCAGTGATTATACCGTCGTGGTTGTCAAGGACATCGAGGTCTTTCTTGTATAGTTCTTCTGTGTATTCTTGCCATCTTTTCCTAATCTCTTCTGCTTCTGTTAGGTCCCTACCGTTTTTGTCCTTTATCATGGCCATCTTTGCATGGAACGCTCCCTTGATTTCTCCAATTTTCTTGAAGAGATCTCTAGTCCTTCCCATTCTATTGTTTTCTTCTATTACTTTGCACTGTTCATTCAGGAAGGCCAATAATTAGGCATGCAAAAAGAGATTTTGAGAAGCGGGTTGCTAAGAGCTTCAAGGCAAACAAACATTTAAAAAAATAAATCTGGAGCAGGAAATCAGCCAGAGAAGAAGTGGGGCTTTTGGATGACAAAGGAATTAAGGGACTGCTAAAGGAAGATGGGGAGATGGCAGAGAAGCTCAATAACTTTTTTGCTTCTGTGTTCATTGTGAAAAGTGTGGGGCATGTACCCATGCCACAGCCACTACTTTCAGGAAGGGAGTCCAAAGAACTGAGCCATACTGAGGTGACTAGAGATGCAATTCTAGACCTACTGGGGAAATTAAAAACCAATAAGTCCCCAGGTCCTGATGGCATACACTCAAGAATTATTAAGGAACTCAGATGTGAGATTGTTGATCTCCAAACCCATACATGTAACCTATCAGTCGCTGTATCAGAAGACTGGAGAGTAGCGAAATGTGACACCAATTTTTATAAAGGGATCTGGGGGGAACCAGGAAATTACAGGCCAGTCAGCCTAATGTCTATCCCAGGAAAATTAGTAGAAACTTTAATCAAAGATAGAATTCTTAGGCACACAGAAGGACAAAGCCTACTGAGGGAAAATCAGCATGGCTTCTGCAAAGGGAAGTCCTGCCTCACAAACCTTTTGGAGTTCTTTGAGAAAGTGAACAAGCATGCAGACAATGGTGACCCACTAAGATATTATATACCTGGACTTTCAAAAGGCTTTTGACATGGTACCTCACCAAAGACTCCTGAGTAAATTTAGCAGTTATCAGCTAAGAAGACGGGTTCTTTTACGGATTAAAAATTGCTTAAATGACAGGAAGCAAAGAGTAGGAGTCAATGGACAGTTCTCACAATGGAGGGAAGTAAGCAGTGGGGTCCAAAAACAAATCAGTATTGGAATTGGTACTATTTAATTCATTCATAAATGATCTGGAACTAGGGGTGAGTAGCGTAGTGGCCAAGTTTGCAGATGACACCAGATTATTCAGGATGCTGAAAACCAAGGCTGACTGTGAAGAGTCCAAGAGGACCTCGACAAACTGGGTGAGTGGGCGACAATGTGGCAAATGAAATTCAGTATTAGTAAGTGTAAGGTGATGCACACTGGAACAAAAAAACGCAGCTTCAAGTATAGGCTAATGGGGTCTGAACTTCCTGAAACTGAGAGGGGAAAAGATCTTGAAGCTATAGTGAGTAACTCAATGAAAGTGTCAGCCTAGTATTCTATGGTGGTGAAAAGGAGAAACTGTATGTTAAGGATTACTAGGAAAGGGGTTGAGAATAAAACGGCCAATATTTTAATGCCCCTGTATAGATCTATGGTGCGGCCTCATTTGGAATACTATGTACAGTTCTCATCACCGTATCTCAAAAAGGACATTGCAGAGCTGGAAAAAGCACAGAGGAAAGCAACCAAGATGATTAAGGGATTGGAGCACCTTCCCTATGAGGAAAGAGGGGACATGATAGATGCTTATAAAGTGATGCATGGGAAAGAGAGAGTTGATTTTGCCCTTAGATTAGGCAAAACAGTTTCAGCCCATTCTGCAAATGACTTAAATTACTTCTCAATATAACTTTGAAGAAAGAGGTTTTTTGTTACTACCATATGCCCATTTTTTTTCACCCATTCCTTCAATAAGAATCAGACCTTGTCAGAACCTAAAGTGGGGAATGTTTTTCTATATGCTTAATAAGACAATATAATTTAAAGTACCATGTCTATATTATACAATTTTCTCTTACCTTAGGGTTTCATTCTACCCATAACCACCGCCAAAAAGCACTTCTAAGTCATGTTATTATACTTTGTTTATATAACTAGCCTTAAAAATCCTGCCTTTTATTGGGATATTTGGTCAATATAGCAGAGTTTTGCCCAGTCATAGAAGCATAATACTGAGTACAGTAAATAAAACTCCCAAGAAGTATATTGCGAAAAAGGCAAACTTACATTTATTTAAGTAGATCCAGTTCACATTCAGGTTGCGGTAAAAAGAAGAGAAAGACACGCCTAATCTAAAAGTACTTCCCCTACCACAAATGGCCAGCTTGTCTGGCATCATTTGTGTGGGTGTGTGAAGGCACCATATCTACAGGAGAGACCTGAAGAGACTTGTGTTTCCATGGAAGGCCATATGAAGAGAGAGGACAAAGGCAGAAAGGAGAGGTCAGAGGGCAGCTCCCAAGCTAAGACAAAGAGAGGCATCCCATTCAAGGAAGTAACACCTATATACACTTAGGGTACGTTCAGACGGGGCATTTGCAACGGTATAGGTGCCGGTTGGAATCGTTCACACGTAGAACATCTGCCTTCCATCCCTAACCGTTGCAAAGAGCTTTAAACCGTTGTATTCTGCCACTAGGTCCTCAAGTGGTGGTATCCTGAGTGCAACGGCTGTAATCGCTTTAAACCCCCCCCCCCGTCTGATCGCTCTCCACCGTTGTAGAATTTAAATGTAATGTCCAGACATCAACATCTGGGAAACGTCCGTCTTCCATGAGCATCCTGTTTTGCCGTGCTTCGGAGCCATACTAAAAAGGTACTAGTTAAAATCTGGAGTTTTCGGTTCTGACAGGCCAGTCACGGACTTACCCCCATCTGATCGTTCCAGCGCGCAATTAGAAAAGGTGCCTGTTCGGGATGGTCTGACATCAGACCATCCTGAACGGCCGTAATTTTTAATTGCGCACTGGAATGATCAGACGGGGAAAAGTCCGTAAGTGGCCTGTCATAACCGAAAACTAAGTAGTATCTTTTTAGTACGGCTCCGAGGTGTGGCAAAACGGGATGCTCACAGAAGATGGACATTTCCCAGATGTTGATGTCTGGACATTACATGTAAATCCATGTGGCACCCGTGCCTCGCGTGGATCTATAGAGCCGTCTGAACGCACCCTTAGAGTGAAGTAGTGCCAGTGTCCAGGCATGCTGAGTCAGTCACTCCAACTTTACTTTGGCAAGCCTTTATTGGCAGTTCAAAAGCAAGAAATTGCAAATAGATAAATAGGTACCACTTCTGTGGGAAGGTAACAGCGTTCCGTGCACCTCGGCATCTAGTCATGCCAGCCACATGACCATGGAAACGTCTTCGGACAGCGCTGGCTCTTCGGCTTGGAAACGGAGATGAGCACTGCATCCCTAGAGTCGGATTCGACTGGCTTTTGAGCAAGGGAAACCTTTACCTTTACTATATATATACAATAGGAGGCTCACTGCGACACTTTTTGGGTTTACAAAGAAAACAGTTTGGGATTATGTAAAGATATACTCTCCATGATTTCAGCATACATCCTGCAGAGGTTGGTATTTTGTGCTAAGACATAAATGGAAATGTTTTATGAATTTTGAAAAATTGTACTTACTAGATCATAGTTATAGAGTGGCTGGCAAACTTTTTCAAGTGTGTATAAATATCTCACATTATCTTTCGATTCATTTGCTGTATCTGTTATCCTCGCATCCAGTTCTCGCCACAGCTACAGTAAAAAATTAGAGATCATACTGATGACAACGTAACTGAATTTTGTAGAATACACAGAACAGAAATGAAAATCTATTCAAACCACACAGTCATTACACCTTCTGTTATAAATAAGGTTCTGTAAACCACTAATTCATAAGGAAGCAATATATAAATCTTGGGAGCTTTCAAAACTTGTGGAAAAAGTGGAAGGCATTTGGGGTTTTAGAAAGTTCCTTCTCCCCACTTTTGGTGACTTCTGAATAACTGTGGAGAAGAGTTATTTTATACTGTTCATCCTGACCTGAAAATCCCACATTTCTTCCCATGGCACTTAAAAAACTAGTAAACAGCAAATAGGAACCAAATAGGACCATCTACTTCCCACTTGGGGCATATAGCAACAATAAAAATACACCTATATTAATATTAATGAAAGTTGCCTTGTCTGGAGTTCTGTTTTTATGACACCATTTTTGAGGTTTGGGGGCCAATCAATGCTAGCATTACATACTTGGTGGGCAGCAGCAGACCAAAGGCTGAGAACCACTGCTTTAAATTATTTCATGGTTTAAACAACCATTTTAATCAGGTAAACAGAAATTTATTTTGGATCTATGACTCTACTATGAGCTTAGTGGGGTGGATCCAACCAGCTTTTCCACATAATCCTTACTACAGCCCCTATCTCACATTACTTTTTTCCATGTAGGTCCCATGATCCCTAGCATAAACTTTTTTAAAAACAAAGGGGGATCATATTTAATTATTTTTAAAGCAATTATGAAGCCAGAATGCCAGCAGGGGGTTGGGGGCTATCCAGTGTTTTGCATGGAGTGTCACATGTATGACTATCTGCCCACTGGGTGTGTGCTCGGTGCAAGGAGCTCCTGGTTCTCAGGGAATGCATCTGATCCCTTGACGCCAAGATGGCTGACCTGGAGAAGCAGAGACAGTCAGTTAGGTGCACGGAGAAGACTCTTGGGGACTTGTTAGATACGTCCCACTCTGGATCTGGCAGCCCCGCCGCTGTCAGGGAGCATGAGGTTTGTGGTAAGAAATTGTAGAAATATGGAAGGTTTGGGTTTAAAAATGAACCAAATAGTTTATAAAATCCATGTATCTGTATCTGTCTTTGCTAGTAAAACAGCAAACAGGCTTGGCCTGCTTCACTGAACCAAACCCTATGTTTCTTTGCAAGCCCTTTGTTCCAGGAAAAGCTCTCGAAACATTTGCATTACATTGTTCATGAATCTAAATAATTTGGAAGCATTTAGAAATAAAAGATTGGTATGCACCTGCCATTAAGTCAAGGAAGCCCGAATATTTGCAATACTACAGCCTTGCCTACACGCAGAAACTCACATCACACCTCCAGCCAGCAGACAGTGCCTTACTGGCTGCCCTGATTCAAGGAAACAAAGAACATCCTGAAATTGTAAGGATTCTTGTGTTTGTCATTTAAAAATTTAGGAGCTATCTTGCATAGTTTTGCTAAAAGCATCAGGGTAGCCCCATTGCCTCTGGAATATGGGAACATTTCCTGGGCCACAATGGCCCACATTACCAGGGCAGTTGGATTAATTAATGAAATTATAATCTCTATAGCTCTATCGAAATGTATGGGACCAATATGGTATAAAAGAAGGCAAGACGCTTCATTTCAGCACTGACTCTCAGGGATCCAGGGAAGACTTTGTCTTTCGTGATCTCTCTGGGCCAGTCCAGAGGCTTCTGTGCATGGGGAAATCTTTGTTCTGTATATTTAACCACTGACTGTCTCTTTTTAAGGAAGTATTCTGTTTTGTATTCCTTGCTTGTCTTTAGCTGATAAACTATTTTATTGTTTAAATAACCTTGTGTTGCATTCCAGCCACATTTCTTTTAACATTCTACCTGCCTTGGTAAGGGGCACTCACCAGACCATTACGAACCTAAAGGGGGTGGGAACAGGTGCAGGTAACACTTTATACAGGGTTAGTTTAGACTGACAAGTTCTACAGTTGCATTTTTCCAACAAGAGTCAAGGGGAAACGGGGCACCGTGCTGCGGATAAGGGGAATGTGCCCTCAGAAGGGACCTCTTCTTCAGCTGGTGAAAGGGTATCCTTTTGCACCAAGGAACCATCCCTTGGCAGGAAGGGAGGGGGGCTCTTGGTAGCTGGTGATTCGATCCTTAGGCAAGTAGACAGCTGGGTGGCGAACCTGCGTACTGACCGTATGGTGACTTGCCTGCCTGGTGCAAAAGTAGCAGACATTACGCGGGTTCTAGATAGGCTGGTAGATAGTGCTGGGGAGGAGCCAGTGTTCGTGGTACATGTCAGCACCAACGAAGTGGGGAAATGCAGTCGTGAGGTCCTGGAGGAAAAAATTAGGCTGCTAGGCAGGAAACTCAAGGCCAGGGCCTCCAAGGTAGCCTTCTCAGAAGTGCTACGTGTTCCATGCGCAGGGCTGGAGAGGCAGGCACAGATCAGGAGTCACAATGTGTGAATGAGACGATGGTGTAGAGGGGAAGGGTTCACGTTTGTTAGGCACTGGGATGCTTTTTGGAACAAGAGGGAGCTGTACAAAAGAGACGGTCTCCACTTGTCCCAAGAAGGAACCAGGCTGCTGGCGCTTAAAATCAAAAAGGTGGCAGAGCAGTTTTTAAACTGAATATTGGGGGAAAGCTGACAGGAGATGAAAAGTCCCTTGTTTGGGATGGCTCATCTCAGAGAGATGAGCAGGTAGCTGTTGCTTTTCTACAGGGAAGTGGATTGGAATTGTCTACTG